TTGTTCTTCAGGATACATAATGAAGAATGCTCCAGCTTTGCCAGTTAATTGCTTCATGGCTGTTGTTTGTCAATTTGCCAGCAGGTTTCTGCTTAACTGCTGCCATTTGACATTGCTGAAACACAAATGCAGAATGATTGAGTTGCCAACATATCATTGAGTCTTCTGCAAGGGGGATTTTCAGCATATTAACGCTTCAGGCTTTCACGTCAGTATTGATTGCTGAAATAGAAAAGAAACCTTTGGCAGTATTCAGCATCGTGCCAGCATGGATTTAGTGGCAGGAAAAAGAAACTGGCTGTTGCCATTGACTGTGACTTCATCCCTTCCTTTCTTCCTTTCTTAATTTTTTTATTTCTATACACACCCACACAGGGTTTTGAAATTTAATACACATCATAGCCAAATGCCAGTTAGCATCACAATAAACCAGCAGGGCAAATCAACTATTTGATGCAGTCAGATGTTGAGGCTGTTTAATTTTGCAGCCACCTGCATTTTTCCCGACCAGATTTCATGGCAGCTGGGGAGGGGGTTGAGGGCAGGGGTGCCTTACAGTGAAGCACAGGTCAAGAGCTGACTTGGAGGAAGGCAGTGGGGTGGTGGTCTCTGCTGAGCTCCTCACAGGACAGCCAGGCTGCCACCACATTGGTCCCTGAATGCAGGAGTTGTGAAGCTGGGTGGCATGGGGAGAGGAGCAGCACGATGCTGCTGGGGCCAGGCTTGGAAAGGCAGTTCCCTTCCCTGGACATAGCGAGGCAGAAGAGGCCAAGATGGGGCCCCATGGATGAGCAGGGACTTAGGTGGTGGAGCAGGGGAAGAAGTGCCTGGCTCAGGTGTAGTGCAGTGGCTCAGTGTTGTCGGCCAGCAGTTGCTGTGGCAGTGCTCATGCATGGAATGGGCACAGGAAGGGTAAAGAGGTTTTGCTCTGCTGAAGCAGGGAGCAAGAGGAAGGTGTGAGCCTCCTGCAGTTGCTACAGGAACACCTCTATGTCCTTTGCCTCACCTGAACCTTGCCTGTCTCTGCTTTGCATCAGTCTGATCTCTTGTATGATAGTTTATATCTTGTTTTAGATAGTTTATATCTTGTATTAGAAGGTTTTGTAGGAAGGACCACCTGGGCATTCTGAAGGTGATGATTTCTGGCTGAAATGCTGCTACATGGAACAAAGACCTGAGGGGAAATAGGACAGGGCATGAGCCGAGGTTTTGAACATAAAATGGGAAGGACATGCTCACCAGCAGGGCTTGGGGAGTTTGCACATCAGTCAGATATCAGTCCTGGCTGACCGCTTTTCCTTTGAGTTGGGAAAGTCGAGTGAAGAAGAGGGGAGTGGATAGAGCAGAATTTCCTGCACAAAGATTGTCAATGAGGAAAATAATCGGGATCAGAGGAAGATTTCTAAGAACCACATTACAACTAGCAAACAGCAGCAGAGATTATTTTTATTCTAGTTCTGAAATATGCTTAATGTTCCCTCCTTTCAGATGTAGTTCAGAGGAACTTTTTGAATCTTATCTGCTTCTCACTTATGAATTAACCAAAAATAGGAATAATAAAGGGAAACTTGCAAAAATACGCTTCTTAGGAACCATTAATATAATGTGACCATCAAAAGCCCACTGAAAGCTAGATCTTTTGGCCAGAATATATAATCAAAGAAGCTTCAAGAGTTTATCTTGGATGTTTGGGGTTGATGGGTTGGTTGGGGATATTTTGGGTTTTTTGTGGTTTTTGGTTTTTTTTGTAATTGTGATATTAAATTTCTCTCTTTGGTTGATTGGAGCAGACACTTAAAGCTTTAGAACAGAACAAGTAGCTTTATTTGGAAAAGATTAGAGGACACTGGTACCTGGGCCACAGTAAATTCAAGGTTTAAGTGGGATGCTCAAATCAAAATGGGTACATAGAGCCAGAAAGGCTGGGAAATGTCTCAATTTTTCAGTAGGAGGGTATCTTTTCCACTAAATAACATGTTCACTTTAAAAAGTGCCTCTACAGAGTTTTTAGTCAAAAAGCTGTGATTCAGAATTAGAAAAGCTGTAGCTGATAATTGGAACAGTTTGTTTTGGAAGTCCTTCCCACTGTCAGTTGCCCAGATCTTCTCTATGTAGGACAGTTCCTAGGTGACATGGTCCACAGATAAGCCCATGAAAGAGAAGAGGAACACAAGCACCTAAACTGCAAATTCCCACATTAAGGTCTCCGAACAAAGCAATGCTAGATTTCAAATTTATGTCTGGCAGTTGTTTTTTTATTAAAAGTCTTCATTTGCATCAGGTGAAGGTAAAAATGGGGACTTGAATCATCTTCTAGCCAGATCAGTTAATTATCAATAAAAGCCCAGCATGTGCTGCATAAGAATTTCATTGATGAAGTGTGCAGACTGGATGGAGTAAAATCCACTTTCTTCTGTACCACTGGGGGCTGTTGCCTTTTTACACAGTAAAATGAGGCTTGGGAAGAGAAAGTGGATAAAAAGTAAAGAAAGTGATCTGACCTTGAATTGCTACAAAGATCTTGGGATTAGGAAGATCCCTTCTAGGGTAAGTGATACGGCGTGTGCTTGCCAGGCATGTTTCTGGATCAGCAGTGTGCACCTGGCAGTAGTTTTACTCTTACTTTGATAAATTGCCTTCTCCCAGCATGAATTAAAGTAGTGATTCTTTTATTTCTAAATTACTACTAGGCTCTGTAGTCTTTCAGCTTAGTGTGGGGGATTTTTTCTAGGTTCAAATGAGAAATGCAATCTATGCCTTAACTAAGGAGTTTGATGGTAGTGTATGCTTAATCTTTAAAATGCTGTGTAGGGGGGCAAAACTTTGCTTTCAAGGGAAATAACCATCCTGGCAGAGAGAAAAATATCAGTAGGATGCTGCCACTGGTTTGGCAGAGATTGTTTGATGCTTTGTTAGCTGGCTGTTGATTTTATGCTTTTTTAGTTATGTATGAAGGAGCTTCCAGAATAACTGGTATTTAAGTGGGTAGCTCCATTCCTGTACAGCAAAATCCAGAATACAGAGCAAACAGAGGAACTGCAAATTGCTAATGGGTGAAGTTAGAACAGGGGACACATCTGAATGAAATTAAATCCCCCTCCAGACAGCATGGATAGTGCTCTAAAGAGCTGTGCCTGTTTGCCTTTCTCCTTCACTGTGGGCCGAAGGCAAAAAGATCTGTCACACAGCTTTCCAAGAGCTGCACAGCTACTAAAGCCTTTCCTATTAAAAATGAGTAAGTTAACGCCTGTGTGTGGAGGTGCACTGAAGGAAGTTGCTCTTTGATCAGTGTGGTGTCTGCGTGCCGCAGTGACCATCTGGCGCCCAGAAGCGGGCGGAGGCGCCGGCAGGCAGTGGGGCTGTGCTTCTCCTCCTCCTCCTGCCAAAACACGCAGGTGTAAGAGCATAAAACCCACCCCACCAGAGCAGGTCCATTTAATGCACCCATCGGAATTGGAAAATGCCTCTGCTTGTGGCTTTAACAAATACCGTGACAAGTCATCCCAGCGTCTCATTTTCTGGAAATGCAGTGTTTCTGTCGGGCCACTCCAACTTCCCCCTGGGGAAAGCATCTGAGTGTTATTTTAGACACAGGAATGTCATCCAGAAGTACAGGCATAAGAAACAAACACCTGGGGGAATACCAGGGTGTTTTATTAAATATAGCTTTACTTTTTCATTGTCCCTATAGGACACCTCATTGACAAGCATGATGCACAGCAGGGAACAGACTAGTCAAAAGCATGTGTATGCAAAGAAAACTGTGTCATTTTTGTAAATACAACTCTGAAAAAAAGGTCTCTTACAGAAGGTTGACTTTACAGGACCCCTCTAACATCCCTTGTGTTATGAGCTGGTGTATATTTGCAAGCTGACTTTTATTTCGAATTCAATAAAATGAAAAATGGTATGGGATAATACAGCAATACACCTTTTATACTCCAATGTGGGTTAAAGAACTGTTATAGGACCAAAGCAGCAGGAAGCTGTGTCCAACACAGTTACCCCCTGCTCTGTTGGACTCAGCAAGCAGAGGAGCAAGTAGACAGGGAGGACAGGGACTGCATAAACCAGTACTTCCACCAAAATGTTGTCCATGCAATCACAGCCTGGGTGAGATAATCTATCTTTCACTGGGACAAAACGAACTCTGAGAAGAATTCTTCACACTCAAATGGCTTCCATCAAATAGGTTGTGCTCTTCTATCATATCAAGCAATGAACTTTTTAGGCTTTTTTTTTCTCATGGGCCATGATTATTTAGTAAGTTTGTTAAATTCTTTTAATGAGAGTGAAAGCTTCAGAGCTCTTTTTAGTTCTAAAAGAAATATTTGAGGCATTCTGCCTACTCCACTTTTCCACAAGGACATTAATTCATAAGCAACAAGGAATATTATAACTGTTTACAGTAGCCCTCAGTGAGTAGCATGAGACTTGGGGATTTTGAAAGAAATAAGAGTATTTGGTTACAGAATCAAAAGCTAAACAAAAAGCTTCAAACTCAAAAATGTTTGGAGTTGCTCAAACAAATTCGATGAAAAATTAACAATTTGCCAGCTTTTATAACCCTGTGACTCATCAAGCTTGTATTGTTTTGTCTCTCTTCTGAGCTTCAGAAACCAAAGCAATCCTGGCAGTCGAGATGTCTAATATTTTACCTTTAGACTTGTCCAACTTCAGTTGTTTAAACATATAGTTCTGCTTACATAGGATACTTTGCAAATTAAGCGATGCTGCTTGGTGGTGTAAGAGGTACTGCAGGTTTCAGCTGAGCTGTGTGAGATGGACAGTGCCTGCTTTGATGTAACACACCTACTTTCTCAGTTTTCTCAGGAAAACATCCTCGTTTTCCTGAGATTCCGTGCATAGCATTATGTGGCAGTCTGCTGCAGTCATTGGGGTAATTTGGTTGATCAGTTTGCTTCCAGCTAAATAATGACTCTAAGAAAAATATTGGTGCTGGCTGGAGATGCTTAAAGGTGTTTGTTTTGTTTCCCCAGAGTGTTTCTCAGCTTCCCTATGGCAAAGCCCTCTACACATATGAGGGAAAAGAGCCTGGTGACCTCAAGTTCAACAAGGGGGACATCATCATCCTGCGGCGCAAGGTGGACGAGAACTGGTACCACGGGGAGCTCAATGGCAACCACGGCTTCTTCCCCGCCAGCTACATCCAGTGCATCAAGCCCCTCCCACAAGCTCCACCTCAGGGCAAAGCACTTTACGACTTTGAAATAAAGGATAAAGATCAAGACAAGGATTGCCTGACCTTCACCAAGGTAGGGGCACAGGTTTTTAAAAAATGTTCAGAAATCTGCTTTGGTAGGGAGTGATGGGACACATGCGGTGCTGGCAGCTGAGCCAGCAGCACAGGGGGGCTGGGACTGGTGGGACACTTTCCTGGTTGTCCTGGTCTCCCTGGCCTACCCTGCACTGTGTGAGATAGCTTGTGCCACAAATAGCAAGGCTGGTACAAAGCTAGTGATGCTCACCAAGTAGAACTGGCTACACGTTTCCTGAGAACTTTTTTTCCTCTAAAAAGCATGCATTTCATCTGCATTGAAATGTTCCTCAAGAATGACTCAAATTTCAGAAAAAAAATCCAGTGGAACTGTGTCTTTTAATGTTCCTTATTGAATCAGATGTTCCAGTGTTTTAAAATTACATTCAGCTTCAAAATGTATATTGCATCATACCATATACCAATTAGCAGTTGAAATACACTATCATCATAATAGTGTTTCCTATTTTAAGAACATAAAGACAGTAAAAAGCAGACATTTAGAAGACAGTCTTTATGTTTTTTTAAACCAAAATGTTTAATAAATTCTCATTGGAATGAGAGAAAACTGAGATATTGTAATTTCCTTTGGATTTAAAATGTCACGTTTTCCCTTTCACCCCCACCTCCCCACCTGCTTTTTGCCTCCCACTCCCCTCCCTAGCAATTTGTGTTGACCTTAGATGGGTTTCATGGATATCAAGAAACCCACGGTAAAATAAATCATATCCCCTATTGTTAATTTATGGCAGTGAATGCCATGGAGAACCTGTTCATTGTCATTTTCTGTTTTATTTCAGCTGTGTGCAGCTGTTATAGTATCACATAAAGTAATAACAGTTATGCTGAAAATGAATATGAAATAGATGATAAAAATATCCTTCACTAGGATTTTACTGACCTTCTCTTTTGAAGCTACTTATTATAGCTGAATGAATTATTTGCAACATATAATTTTCTCACCGAATGTAACATCTTTTTCACTCATGCAGTGTTTCTCAGCAGAATGCAATTTCCTAGACTGTATACTTTCTCATATTTATTTAACAAAGGATTTGTAAGCACTTTTGTTCCATAGCAAGTGAAGTGTTTGATTGCAAACACTGCAAACCCTGCGACTAGCCAGCCTCCCTGGAGCTGTGAATCTCTGCAAGAAAGTGGGCTGCTTAGTGAGAAGTAACAGCCATGCACTAACAGAAAGTTTGCCAGAAGTTACCTCTGAGACCTTATCAGTAAATATGTATTTTCTGGTGCGTTGTTTTTCTCGCTGCCTGCCCAGAGGTACACTGGTGACTTCTCTGAAATGCAGTCTTCCTTGTCTGCTTAAAGTATTGCTTGCTTGCTCAGTCTTAAGAAATTTAATAGGTATGCCAAGCATTTGTGGTCTTTTCTGTTAGAGCAGGTCCTTTCCTAGATACTTTGATATATTTGGTGCCATATATTAAAAAACCTCTTTTACAATAACGACCTTTGTATAGTGATAGTTCTCATTTTCTCAGCTGTCCAATGTCATTCTCACATGGAACATTTCTTCCTGCTGTATAGCTCTACTCTCAGTCTCTCAATTTTCCTTGTTTTCACCCCTCGTGTTACTGTCGGCATCCTTTTATCCCTGATGACTGTGTTTTCCCCAAGGGGCTTTGGTTTCTCTTCTACTGCTATTTTCTTCTTTAGTTCCTTCCACTACACACACTGTCACCTTGTAACAGTTTTTATGTCCTGCCTATTGTTCTCCCTGACAGTGAATAATCTATTTTTCATCTTGGGACTTCACCATCATGTTTTCATCAGTTTTCTCCATGCTAATTTTAGCTGTCACCTGTGCTGATGAAGGTTCCTGTTTAGCCCAGATTATAGATCATCTGCTGATGCAGTCAGTTCCTCTGCACAGAGTCCTGAGCACTGCAGTGCTGTAGATGTGATTTGTCACTTTGAGCAATATGCATCACTTGAATGTCTCAGTTTGCACCTGAAGATGCTGGACCAGGTCTCAGTTTCGTTTACACTATTTGTTCCTTCCTTTGGTGGAGGAGTTACATTGGCATAACATTTATGCAAACTAATATAACCTATTTGTGTACTGCAACTCATTTAAGGCTACCATACTCTTGTGATTGGATTTTACTTATAAACATATAATAAAGAAGAGTTTTCCTCTAAAGAGAAGCTATAAAAAGGAAAGTCAAAAACAGGGATTTTCTGTATCATTTTTATCTGTTTTGTTATTCTTTTGCTGGGCTTTGCTTTTTCCCATCCCCCTTATTATCATGCACTCAGAATATCTACTGGTACAGTAAAAGAAAACAAAGGAAGGATATTTGGTGTTTCCGCTTCCTAATTTGTTTTGCTATATTTTTCAAAATGAAAATGTTCCATTGTTCCAGAGGTATATTACAAGGAAATGAAGTCTACTTTACAAGATCTTCGTGAGGAGTGCTGCAGGATGCTTCTGCCATTTACCTATTTTCGTCTCCTGTAGATACAAAACTCTCCTGAAATAAAAGGCCAAAGATGTAAATGTAATCATTTTTATGTGTAAGAATAAAATCAGAGAAAATTCTGTCTTGAGTGTCCAGTGGAAAAATCAAAGCTCCCACGTCCTCTTTCCAGAGGAATCATACATACAGGCATAGGGTCTCACTTCTTCTCTCCTCTCTGCTGTCTCTAAGATGATAGAACATCCCAGATTTCCTACTTAATATGTTTTCTCTCAGTGTTTGGCAGTGATTAGCCAAACTAAGCTGTTGTTTTTTCTTTGTAACAACTGGTTCCAGCCTTATGGCAACTTTGCACCAATTTAGCACCAGTAGTTTCAGAAATTTTACTCCTGATGTTCCCTAGTGTGGTTGCAATCATGCTGTGGCCCATAGAGCATAATTGCATGCTCTTGGGATATATTTACTGGCTCAGCTTTCTAATCTGTCCTAACATGGTCCCACAGTATGGACATGGGATCCTGCTGAACCTGCTTTAAAAAATAATCTGTCCTTCTCTGGGCTATGAACACTGGTACAAACCATGTGCAAGAGGATTCTGCTCTCAGGTGTAGCAGTGCAAATCTGAAGTAGTTGCATGGTTGTCTGTGTAGTTGCTCCAGCCTTATGCTGAGTCCAGTTTCAGCCCACACGTTTGTTTTGGTGTTCAAACATCCTTTGCATGCATCTTCACATGGCCATCAGAAGGCTGAGCAGCTCATCAGCTAGATGAGTCTCAAACCTGTCAAGGTAGCATCAACTGTTCGCCATGCTTCATTGCTCATCACATTTTTAATAACATCAACTGTTTCCCTCATATTCCAACACTTTTCTTCCCAGCCCACAGTGGTATCTAACAAGAGCTGTGCCAATCTTAGAACCATCACATCCAATACTTGTTCCTGGCTGTGGAGCAGCCCCTTAGCATTCATTTCCAGCAGCATTTGCTGTTCACAGAGGGACCATCCCAGCAATAGCTGGTGACAGGGATTCTCGTGCCAGCTGGCAAGCACTGTGGCTGGACTCACCAAGCACCACGTGGTGCCATCCTGCCACCGCTGAGATGTCCCCAGTGCTCTAGATGGAGTAGTTATCTCTGCAGAATAGCAGGCACAGCTGCTCTGTATTGCTTCGTTAATGGCCATTAATGACTAGAATAAAAATCAGGCTGTGAATCATGACTGTTATTGGATACAATTTTGTGCTGTTTTCGCAGCAAAAAGATTCATTTCTCTGTCAATCAGATTGCTTTTTAAGTGATTTATCTTTGACTTCTTTTCTGATAATGATTATAAACTGGAACTGCAGGTCCCACATGCCTGTCACAAGGCTGATCCAGCCCTGATGAATAGAGAGAAACTCGAGCAAGAAGGGGAGAGCAAATAATTAAAGGCTCTAGCAACAGGCATAAAAGGAGCACGACATATCTTTGTCCAAACTACAGTGGATACTATTGGCTTTTGAAATGAGATTTGAGGCTTGGATTCCTTTATGCTGCCTGGAAATCAATTTAGTCAATGTGAAATTGTGAAGTTCAGAAAGCTGAAGTGGTATGCCAAGAGATCTGTGGCGTTTTGCTATTCATGATCCTTTTGGGAACCTTTCTAGGAATTTATAAGTAGCACAGCTATCCAACTAATATAAGGTTCTAAAATAGTTCATGCTGAAGCTTTCACCAGCTAGCTGTATAGAATGATGTCATTGGCTGCCAATTCAAAGAAACTTTCTAAATAAAAAAATTTCAAATGATTTTTTGGGATTTGCTTTAATTCTGGAGATTTTCAACACCCTTCTTAAAACTAATTATGTAATGGAATTCTCAAGAATTTGCACTTTGCTCTCCCACAAAGATACTCATTTTGAATGTCAGCACTTCTCAGGATGCATTTCTCATATATGACCATACTCAGCAGCCAGACTTGGCTGAGCTGAACGAAGTTCAGTGTATGGAAATGCTTCCAGATTTCATACATCCACGGAAGGCAAAGTTGAAAGGGATCTTCAAAGGTTAATCATTCCCCACCCCTTCCTTGTGTAAAGTCAACACAGGATAAACCTTTCCTGACAGGTGTCTGTACAGCCTGCTCGAGGGATGGGATTGCACAATGCTTCTAGCAAGATGTGGTTGAAAGCTTCTGGGGTTTTACAGTTTTAAAATTTGTTTTCTTAATTTCTTATGTGTGTAAATAGATGCAAATATATATACATTTATATGCAGTGCTGGGTTAATGGTTGGACTCAGTGATCTTAGAGGTCCTTTGTAACCTGAACCATTTAGGATTCTATTCAACCCACATGTATTCACTTATACACACGTAAGATTATATAAGTGCATGTAGTGTAGTGTAGACTACATCACATTTCGTGTTTTTAAAAAACTTTTAGGGAAATAGCTGAGCAAATATAAAAAGTAGGAACACTCATAGCAGGTCCCTGAAGTGATGCAGACATTTCTTTTCCTCGTTTACACCCTTTACCTAGATTTTAAATTTATGCTAATCGGTCTTTTGTAAGATCGTGTGGAAGCTTTGCAGAGATGCATTACTGTCAGTTCTTTAAACAGATCAAAAATGGTCTGTGCAGACAGGGCTTTGGAAGGGAATGCTATCTGTTTCTTCAGGAAATTAAATGCACAAATTCTTTTTGCATCCTTCCAGCTGTAATAAATAGCTGAAGGACTCAGTTTGTAGCCATTTCTATGAGCTTTCCCCTAATGGATCATTCAGATGAATAATTCAAAGGAAACATTTAAACTATTTCAGAGTGCACGTGTTCAAAATGCACATGTTCAAAAACTACAAAGCACCTCACATCACATCTCTGTTCTGGTCATTTTTCTATCAATGCAAATCTGTGGTCTGAACATCCTGGATCAGGAGTTTGTGGGATTTTTTCTGTGTGAGAAGTATCTGCAAAAAAAACCAGCTGCCCTTGCCTGGCCATTTGACATCAGTATCTTGTTACATGGGGCATGATAGACCATATGTAGCTCTTATTTTCACAGAGTGAGTAGTGGAAATAAAGTGAGATCAGCAGGGAACTCTGTCTCAGCTTTCTGGAGGAAGAGATTTTCTTCTTTTTTGTAAATTTCTGCACAGAAGCAGAGGAAGATTGGATGGCATGAGGGAACAAAGCTGACTTCCCAGCTCCTCTCAGCCCACTCCTTCCTTTTCTCATAGGGAATATGAGCAGAGCCCCGTTGAGAGGACTGCCTTCCACAGCTGTTGTAGAAAGCAGTGCTGGTTTAAGGCTGGGTTTAGTATGATGACCCCAGAAGACAGGGATAGTAGCAGAAATCCATTGACAAACTGAGTAGTTTAAACTGGGAAAAGTCACGATTTTGTTCTAGTCACTTGGGCTTTCCTAATGACATTCTGGGTTTGAACTATACCAAGTGAAAAATTGAGCAATATTAATCTGGTTTGTACTTTGCTTTATCTCTTGTTTTATAATCACAAAGAAGTTCATCATCTGCTGAAATTCTTACGAGGTCCCTTAGATTAAATATAGTATTAAAATGCCATTGGTTTTAGGAAATATATATATTTATATCTAAACTGAAGCTGATCCAACAGCTGAATGCAATTTGGGCTTTTTGCCCTCTTATCTTTGGCTTTTTATCTGCTTTGCAATTTTACCTTATAATATTTTTTAAAAGAAAATCTGACATTCAGTGTGTCATCAGCGTAGGCTTGTCACAGAGCACCTTGTACTATTCCTTGTTGGAAGTATTTCCAGGACTACCTGTGCTGTACTGGTGCTTCCCTTTGAATTGTGTTCCAGAGCACACAATCATCACAACAGACTCTTGGATGTACGGGGCAACTTCATGGTGAGCAGCTTTCACCTATGATTTACAGGTGACCTCTTGGGTCAGACATTCTTCTCTCCCCCTAATGAAACCAGGAGTTACCTATTCCCACCTGCTGTGCCCAGCCCCTTGGAGCTGCTGACAGCCAGCATGAGCTGCACCTGTCTGCAGGGTGCTTCAGTGCACATTGAGTGGGATGCCTGGGATAAGATGATGGGCCAGGGATGCTGCTAGCCCAGGATTCAGGAAACACTTTACCAGGTTTATGACTTCCTCTGTGTACTCACTCTCTAAGCTATCATACGGGTAACTAAAAATTGGCATCTTTCTGCTGAAAATATCTGATTATGTATTTTGTGGATCTCTGATTTTAGGATGAAATTTTGACAGTCATCAGAAGGGTGGATGACAACTGGGCAGAAGGAATGCTGGGTGACAAGATTGGCATTTTCCCTATCCTCTATGTTGAGGTAAGTTTATAACACATGGTGGTGGACATGGATTTTCAAATCTTGTGGGGGTTTTGTGCCTACAAGGGCAGGATAGCCTCAAATAATCTTATATGAGAAGGATAAACTAAAACAGAATTACTGAAAAGGGAATTTTTTGGTTGCTATCTGCTAAGGCACTATGGGGGAACACCAATTCAATTTAAAATGGTCAGCAAAATATGTTCCATGAACTCCTTCTAGAGGCTTCCCCTTTGGTGTAATCTCCATAGTGCATAGGTAAAATAGGGGAGGATGATTGCAGTTGGGATACCTTGCATACATCTGAGGAGAGATGTGGGTTTGGGGCTGGTGGAGAGCAGCAGTGCAGTTGAGCTGTGGTCTGAATGCACAGACCTTCAGAGGGGTGCTGAGGGTTTCCTCTGCCTCAGCAGGAGCTCAGGCACCTCCACCCATGTGCCCCAGGCACATCTTTATCCTGAGCTCCTTCCTGTTGTAATTTCCACAGGATTCTTATTTCAGAGTAAATGCCGAGACTTCTTTGCAGACCTGTGGTTCCACCTCTTCCCACTGCTGCCCGTCCTCCTGCTGGTGATGCCCTTTCAGCCAGATGCTTGGGACCAGGGCTGCAGCCAGAGTGGTGGCCCTGCTGGTGCAGCTCTCTTGTCCAGGTGCCAGGCAGTGTCTTCCAGGAACTTTCCTCCCTCATGAGTGAATCAGGGCTGCAAAGAGAAGATGGGCACCACATGCATGTGTATTTTTCTGAGGTGCTGGCACTCTGCACCCAGTACTCAGAGCAGTATCACCCTGACTCTGCTTCCAGACGTTGTCTGGTGCCCCTCTGTAGTGAAGAATCTCTTGTGCCCACAGCAGAGCCTGCTTTGCTGTGTGTGGCTCTGGTGCCTGCCTCTGAATTTACTTAGAGATTTCTTAGTTAGTGATTGGAGACAAAATACAGCTAATTAGTGCCTGACTACCTAATTATTAACTCAGACAATGACCAATTTGGAATAAACCATCATTAATATACTTTGCATTCCCACAGTTGACAAGAATTATAATATTAAAACCAGAATGTGTAGGAGCCGTTATTGGGAAACCAGCTGCCTCACATAAGTTAATGAATAGTTTTCTTCTATTCTGAATGTGTAAGACATGTTTAGTTTGTTGTGATTAAATGAGAAAGCTGGGTTTCTCCCAGATTTCATCTTTTTCTCCTTCTTTTTCCTGTCCTGGGAAAGTGCGATATTACTGTCCTGAATTTTGCTGCAGAAGGAGTGAACTGGGGACCTCTGCACAGCCAAGCACCATTGCACCTCACCACCTTTCCCCAGCTCTAGTTTCATCTGTAGGCTGGCACTGCCTACACACTGTGCAGAATCCTGATCCTTCTCCCACTCCGAAGTATCTGTTCTCCATAATTACTGCTCTTGAAGGGTGAAGGCTCATAACCTCAGAAGAACAGCCCGTAGGGAACATGTGCAATGTCTTGCTGAAGTTTTCCAAGCACTAGCACATCCTGGGTGGCCATGGAGGAGCAGAAGGTAGCACTGTGAAGAGTCAGAACAGTGATGCTTGCAGATTCTAAAGAGATGCAAACAGCCAGGTAGCCAGCACTGGAGGCCAAGAACACACGTAGGAATGTCTGCATGCATATACATTTATACCAGACACACCCACAGAGGAGGTAAAATAAGTACAATTGTATACACTTCTGTGTATATTCATATGTAAACCCACACATGTATTTTATCTGTATAAATTTGAAATCCAGAGACTTGAAAGGCCTATTTAAATTCCATACTTGGGTGCCATGGCCATAATATTTGTGCAGTGGTTTGTAAAACCAAGGGAAGTGATCCTCCAGACTACAATATCAGCCACCTATTTCATCCACATAGTGGATGAAGGCTGCCTTCTGAATATGAGATGAGCATATGCAAGTATTCAAGTTATACAATTACGTTGCTGTTGCCAGCTTCAGATATACTTTGCATTAAAATTAAAAGGAATCAGCAGGTCAAGTCCCAAAGAAGTTTTGGAAATCTCAGTGCTGATATTTATAAAATAAATCCATTAAACAAGTAGTACTTGAATCTAAAAACACTCTCCGAGTCTGTCCAAGTCCATTAAGTGGTTTTCAAAATCTTGGCAAAATGTGTAGAATAAGCAAAGTTTAATTCTCACAGTAGCCTTCCATTTGTGTCAGTTGATTGGCTGAAGTATGTGGGATTTCACATGGCATCCTAAACCCTGCACTCTGGATAGAGTGAATTCCAGCTTGGCAGGCTCTGATGTCCCCAGTTGCTCCCACGGCCCAGACAAGAGCTCTCACCCTCGCTATGCAAGCCAGAGCATCAGAAAACAAGCCGGTCACTTTGAGGATCTCAGGGTTTGGCATGCTAGGGCTACAAACAGTGGATATAATCCTTGTTGTGGCTTCCTGAGGTAACACTTTGTCCTGGCAATGTGCTGCCATGCCCTTCAAACAGGTGTTTGCCCAAAAGGCTTTTGCAGGTGCTCACAAAGCTCTTGCAATGGGTGGTGAGAAGGGTGGTTAGCAAATTCCTCACCGGGATCACCACTTCTCTAAAGGAAACCCAGAAAGACAGCCTTTAGAGCCAGACCGTGGTGGCAGAAAGAGGCACAAAAGACCAGCAGACATCAAAATACACCTTGGTCCTGCAGTGTTTTAGAAAGTCTCTATCTCAGCATTATGTTTAGTTGTCTGTACAGCCATATGAGTGTAATGTGGCATGGATCTTATTCTTTATTCCCTACATGTAAGTGTTTAGCAAGGGTGCTTGCATGTCTGCAGAGAGGCTTTTTCCTGCCTCTGTATTATCATCTCTGTCCCAACCTCAGAGAAGCTACACGTGGATAAGGAACAAATACTCATGGCTCACAATGATTACTTCTGCAGCATGAGTCACAAACAATAAGCTCTTTCAGGGGGAGTTGGGGCTATTGTTTCTTATTTCTTTGCTGCTGTCCTTCATCTTCAGTAGAAGTCATCTGGGCTGATAATTTATGTTTTAATTTGTCTACAGAAAAAAAAAACCCAACATAATTAAATTGATCCTCAATGTGCCTTCTGTCTTGAAATAAACATCTTGTTAATAATCTGTATAGTTTGAATTAATTTCCTTGCTAGGAGGGGTTTTGGACCTGCAAGGAATTCAAAGCCCTGACAAAATTTCTTTTATTTTACTGTCTTCAAGCTAGCTTCTTCATTCTTAATAACTGCTGCTATTATATCTGTTTGAAAGTTTTGTTCTGCTGCTATGTGTAAAATTGAGAATAATGAAGAATAAAGTGTGTCCTAATAGATTTAAGTATCTAGGAGTGAAATTTGAGGGCAATGGTGTCCTGTTCAGATGAGCAGCAACTGGAAATTCAAAAATCTGAGCTGTTAGAGCAAAATTTCTGCCTGCAACCCCCAGATTAAAGAAGAAGATTGACCAAGATCAAGAAGCCTTATGAGTCAGTGGTAGAGCAAGGCAATTATGTTGGGCGCTACTGTGACTGTAATATCAGCAAATTACAATTGATGAAGTGCCAACCCATTGTTACAATGTTTTATGGCAGCAGGAACACTGAAAGCTGTGATTAAGTAATATTAAGAGCTTTAAAATTCTTTTTACAGAGCAGCGAAGCAGGGTAATGAGGATCTTCTCTTGTTCTTCACAATCAAAGAAAAAAGAAAAAAGTAGAGAGGAGTTCTAGCAGAAAGAGGGGGGAGGAGAATGGGCAGAGCCGATGGTTTCAGTGTCCTGCAGCATAGGTCCAGAAGACTCCCCAGGGAAAATAATTCTTGCAAGTGAGTGTTTAAAAAGAGTTCAGAATTGAAAATAAAATAAAATCCAAAGCCAAATGCATTTCTTAAAGAAAACAATGAATTTTCATTTCAAAATTATCTTTGCAGAGCAGCCCATCCATTTAAGTTTTGTGCTGTACTACAGGATCTATCAGACATCCTGAAACAGCTTATCCTATACAGGAAAAGCCGAGCATATTTACCAGGATCCCAGCTGAGGATGTTGAGTAGTGTCACAGACACCCATCCTCCCAGCAGAGGAAGGTCCTTAGCTGTGTAACTATGTACTTTGCTGAGGGCAGCCTTTAGTCAGCTTGCAAATGAATGCAGATGGTTTACACTTTCAGTCTGGACGGCAGATTTTGTCCTTTTTTTTTCTCTATATGCAGACTCCCATCAGCCATTTCCTACTATGCTGGTGTCCCCAGTGGCAGTCATCACGGTTATATTATTGAAAACTCAGATGTATTTGCCTATGTATTTCTAGCTCTAATAGCTATTTTGACCATTTTCAACAAAAAATTCTTGTCCACTGCTTGTCTATGCTTTTTCTCTCCTCAGTCTGTTTGGTTTCTCCCTTCAGCTACAGGACACATGGGTCCCTATGGGACTCTCATAATTAATTCAACCTTGATGTCTGACCCATCATTTATTTTTGTGTGGTCTTAGTGGCACCACACTCTGAATCTTTCAAGGTATCTTTTATGAAAGCCTTCCAAAAAACCAGAAGCATTAGATGTTCATAAAGTAGTAATGTTTGTTTGGTGCCCTTTTCAAAAAGAACATGCAGTCTCTGTTTTTAAGGATTGTCAAAATGGTTCATTTTAGCCTTGCGAGTGTCATTTAATGTGAATAAAAATAGAAGCTTTTGAAAGGTGGGTAGATGCAAACTAATGTAGATGATTTTAGAAAAGCTGACTTATTAAATCTCAGAGGAGCAAATTCATCCCAGTAGTAAGTAGGTGTAAAACTAATGAGTTAAGAATTATACTCATTAACATTACAATTGATTTTTTCTGTTCTCTCTCCTTTAGTATGTCATATAAAAATGGAATAAGAACCTTGTAAAGCTGACAATAATATCAGCTTTAAGAGATGTTCAGCCAATTTCGTTGAAAAGCTTTATTGATATGCATTTTCAAGTTTTATACATATATTGTTTTAAGAATTTCATTCCTGCACCTTCATAGCTTCTAAAAAGTTG